GGGTCTCCAAACCTGTTGCATGGAAACAGCTGGCATCCTGTTCCCATGCAGCAGGCACCTTAGTGCTTACCGTGGCACTTGGGTGTCCTCAGGGGCTGCAACCTAAAGTGCTGGTGGTGATTCTCACATCTCTCCCACTTACCTTATCCCAACTCAACAGGTACAACAATTGTGTCTAAAGTCTACATCTCACTGCCCAATTAGCATTTCTGTCACCTCTTATTATATTCCACCAGATGTTCCTGCTACCACAATTTAACAATCCTTGGATTCAGGGTGTCCTTGGAGAAGCCCACTTTGGGGAGAATTAGAAGCCAGCATTGCAAGAGGACTCAGTATTCCAAGGCACCCTCTAGGAGAGCGCCACACAAATGACTTTAGGTAGTGATATCACCGCCTTGTGGCCTCTAAAGATACTGCCACTTAGTAATACAGATACATTCCCCACTCTAGGCATATACAACAATCCCAATTTTTTCTCAGTATATGCCTTATAAACCAGAAGAATGAGTGGAAGCCAAGATTGTCACCTCTGCGCAAAAGTATAGAAAAAAATCCACCTATCAGAAGTTTTTCCTCAATTTCCAACATGAAACCATAAAACAGTATCTCCCAAACACAAGTTCTGCTCACCTAAGCAGTATCAGCAGCAACATCCTATAAGAATGCAGGTGTTGTCATTATAGACAATGTAAGACAAATTTGCAATTCCTACATTTCATAAAGAGAAAGGTAAAGGAATTGGTAAAAGTACTTTAACTCAGGCATCTAAGCCTCTAAATTTACCCCAACCGGTAGGTGTTTCTATCCTTTTCCCAAAGAGCTTTAGCTGTATCAGGACAAAAGGATACAGGCTTCTTTCCTGAAGACTACAGACCTAAAGAACCCTCCTTTACATATAATTTGCACAGAACTTAAGAGAAACAGTTGGAAGATAAAATTGTTATAAGTAGGAACAACTTATTATGCTAAGGCATTAATCGATTATGATAGGAAATAAGAAAGTTAAAATCCATCATTCTGGAAGATTACAACACTTCTAACATGAAACAAGAGCCCAAAAATCACATCAGGAGAAAGACACAGACTCTTATTAGACATCTATAACAATTGCTTGGCATAAAACTCATTTCCCAAGCTTTCATTAATTTTTAGAATGACAGATTAGAAGTTGGGAAAAGGAAATGCCACAAATTCTTGATATTCCTTAAAGGACAGGCACATACTCCCCCTGTAAGAATAAAGTACCTACATATATTTTATCTACTCATTAGTCTGTCATCTGGCCCAAAGAATTAAAACATTCAGTACACACAAACAAAAGGCATCTTTGAAATCCTACGCTTGTACAAATGGCTATTCTGCAGAATAAAAATGCTCATCTTTATGAAAATCTCTCATAAATCACTATAATTTACTGAAAAGGGTTTGTTTTTAAGGTTTTACACTTGAATTTCATGGAAGAGCAGTCAAGTGTAATTGATTTAAAGCAACAATTTGACTAAAGTGATAATTTGAAAGAAAAGTGATAACAGTAACTGACTGACTAATGTTAAAGGCGATAGCCAAGCTGGAAAACTAAAAGACTCCTAAATCTAAGTTTTTGACCAAAAGCACGTAAGATTATTCCATAAATTCTCTAATTATTTATTTACTCAATAACTATTCACAGCCCACTCTGTGATGACAGTGGTTCCTGGTGCTGCAGATGCAATGGGTAACAAGCAGATGTGTTGCTACCCACCTGGAGCTTCCAGCCTATAGAGGAACTCTACCACTCATATCTTTCCACCTTCTGTACACATTTCTTGACCTATGCAACACATATAGGCACCAACCCCAGCCCACTCCCCTGCTGCCTGTTGCTCCCTCCTTTCCTTTCACCAACTGCAGCCACAAAGGTCATCCTCTGTCACTCGGGTATGCAAGGCTCAGTCCTGCTCCAGGGCTTCTGTACTTGCCCTTTCCTCTTCCTGAGCCACTCTTCTTTCAGAGCTCCAAAATCACAAGGTTTCTTCCCTATCATTCAACTCTCAGCTCAGACTCCTCCACCCAGAGAGGCTTTTCAGGCCACTTGATGTAAAACAGCAGCCCACATCCCGTCACATTCTACCATGCAACCCTGCTTTATTTCTTTTACAGAACTTATCACTATCGAGTCACCATCACTTACTGCATCTTTGCTTTTTATCCATCTCCTTTGCTGAGATGTGACTTTATAGCTGGGTCTGTCTGTCTTGTGCAATGCCATAATTTAGTCTCTAGAAAGCTGTCTGGAATATTAACAGATGCCCAATAAATACCTATTTAAGAAGAACAAATACAGACGACGTTAGCAGTTTTGTATCACAACAACATGTGATACAAATGTGTACCAAATAAAAGGCAAGAGAATGGCTTAAAGAAGAGTTTGGACTATTTAAATATATATATATATATATATATACACACACACACACATATATATATATATATAATAGATAATATACATAAATCTATGTTTTAAAAGATTATCATAGCTTACACTGGTCCTAAAAAATAGCCCTCAAAAATAAGCATAATGAAAATACTAAAGCTCAACATTGGCTAATGTTCAAACTTTGTCATGTATTAGGCTCAATTTCTAGTATTAGCATTACTTCTACGATTTATCCTTTTTCAAAAGCATGCTGACAAGAGACCCCAATTTTTCATTTTAAAGAAAAGCAAGAGCTAAATATTTTTTTAAAACATCCTTCAAAGCCCTTAAAAGTTATTAACCCTCTCATGTACTGTAAAATTTGTAACCATGTTATACTAACATTAAAATATAAGATAGTGGTGATAATATATGGCAGGCAGGATTTGAGTGCATAATGACAACCAAATTTTATGAAACATAACTGCCCTCATCTTCAATTTAATCAAAGGCACAAGCCACTTCTCCATATTCAAAAATATTTAAACACTTAAGAATTTTTCCTATAGATTATTCTTTAAAATTTGTATCTATTCCTTCCTTTCTTTTGTTGAAACAAAGAGCCAAGTGGTTACCCAGGGAATGACTTTAGTTACTGACCATCATGGCTCCCACTTCACAGCAAAGATGCCAAAAACTCTTATGGATCACTGTGAAGTTATATAGAAGCAAACAGTGTATACTGGGGAGAAGGCACATTTCTTTCCTGGAAGGTGACATAAAGAAACAAATGACTACTGCCTTTAGGCCTGTGGGAATAACCAAATCCACTTAAAAACCTCAAGAACTAATGCTTTACAATTTCATAGCAAATTATTAGAAACAACCTACATATATCATAAGAAAGAGGTTAAATAAATTATGGTCCATCCCTAATGGAGTACTCAGCAGCTGTTAGAGAATGAGGCAGCTCTCTCAGATACCAATGGAGACTTCCATGATTTAGTACTCTGGGGAGGGAAGAGGAGGTGGGGGGAGCTGGTGCAGAGTATATAGTGGGTCGTCATCTTTGCAAATACAAACAAAAAGAAGACATACAAAATGTTTACAAGAGCACAGGCTATGTCTGGAAAGATTTACTCAATGAGCCAGTAATCTTGGTTCCTGGAGAGGGGAACTGGGTGCCGTGGAACGTGGTGGAAGAGAGGTATACTTTCTACTCTATCTTTTTATATGTACTGAATCTTCTCCAGTGTGAACAGATTACCTGCTGCACAAATTAGTACAATAAATTTTAACATAAGAATAATGCATGCAATTACCAACATATTTGTCAAGGATGACCATTCAGAAGCAAATTTTTCAAAAATCACAAAAGTTTTGCTCCTACAACAGCAGAGTCCCTGATTCTCATTCCCCAGAAGACACGTATCCACTAATTAGAGGCTTGCTAGTGATCTCACCTATTATTACAAAGCAAAGAAGTCTCAATTCAATTCTTGGAGAGGAAACAGGTGCTCAGATCACCTTAAGAACACATCACATATTTAAATTGGGCTTGTCACTAACTCCCAATGAAGTTTCCAAATGAACAGTTGCCCCCGACTATAATACAGAAAGTTAACATAAGAAACAAGTAAAAGGGCTGTCTCATGTTTTTAAAAACACATTATACTTAGGCTTCCTTTTCTCTGCCAGGCTTAGACAAGAAACCCTCTGGTAATAGTGAAATGCAATTTCAGATCTGTGGCAAAATAATCACGTAAGGGGAAGGGCAAGTAGCATTCATGCTGAAAAAACTCCTTGGTTTTTCACTTGTTAAAAGGAAAGGATTGCTTTAAATTTAATTTCTGTACTATTTCTGAACCCCTGCCTAAACGACACTACTATATCACATTAATTTTACTTCAAGCAAATACTTTTTAAAATTAAAAACTAATCTGAAAGTGAACACGAAGCAGAAGGCAAACTTTAAACTGAAACTTTTCTGTTTAAAAAAAGTATCTTTTAAATACACATAAAAGAAATGCAAAGAACTGATTTCCATATAAATGTCATTCAATGACAGTACAGGTTATATCAATATCTGACTGCCTTAAACACATTCAAAAGGAACACAAAGATACTCAACTGCAAATGAAAGACCTCATATATTTTTGATATCAGAATGTGGGGAGCAAAATCACGCTAATTCAGATTAATCATGTAAATTCAGAACACGTGATGTGCAGTTTAGTGTCGCTCAGAACTCCTGAATCCAGCTTTGTGCTTTTACACAACATAACAGAAATGGCATCTTTCACAAAGCCTAACTTTGACCTCCAACACGTAACTTTGGGTTTAACCAGTACAACACCTTCGGAAGTAAGCACATAAAAATACAGGTAAGTCAAAGGCACTACCGATACAGAAAGGACAAGGAATGGGTTTAAAAAGGAGCTGAAGCACAGGGGCACGAAATCACTTGGCAGGTCGCCTCTCCAAAGGAAAAACGTTTCAAGTTCCCTCCCATTCCCCAGGTAACCTCTGGCCTCAGAACTCACTGCTCTGCGTGGGGCAGAAGTTCTGGGCGCTGGAGTCCGCGCCCCCCCGGAACACGAGGATGATCCAAGGGCGTGCGGAGAACGGCGCTACCCAGAGAGGCGCTACCCAGAGCGGCGCTCTCCGGGGTCACTCCCCTAGGACGCTTCGCAGAGCCGGGAGCGCTGCCCCACCCCGCCTGGGCCGCCCCTGGGGACCCCGCTCCGGGCTCTGCGGCTCCCCTGCCCCGCGCCGCGCCCACCCGCCCCCCGCACTCACCAGCCGCTCCGGCGCCGCTATCTTGCCATCCCCCGCCGCCGGCTCTGCTGCCTCGGCCGCCGCCCCGGGGCTGCCCAGAGCCCGCAGCCGCCCGGAGGCAGGAGCCTCCAAGGAGGGGGCCGGGCACAACCCGCCGCCGCCGCCGCCGCCGCCGCCGCCGCCGCCGCCGCCGTCTAGCCTTCCCAGTGCCGGCGCGAGGCTACTCGAGGCGGCCACGGGCGAAGGGCGGCCCGCTGCGCTGTGCGAACCCCGCGAGCCGCCGCCGCCGCCGCCAGAGCCGCCCACAGGCAACGGTAACCGCCACGGCCGAGTCGCTCCAGCCGGGACTGCGGCGCGCGGGGGCGGTACCTACAAGCCGCTCGGCTGGGGGCGCCGCGGGCCGGACCCCGCCCAGGCCCCGCCCCCGCCTCCGGCCCCACCCCAATCCGCGCGCCCCCGCCGATGCCGGGCCGCGCGCGCGGGCTCGTCCGCGGGGCCATCCCTGGGAGTCAGAGGAATCGGGCCGCGCGACGGGCCCCGGGCGCTGAGGGTGGGGCTTCCTCCGAGCCTCCGGCTGCGAGGCCGCTCTCGGAAGGTCACGGCAGCGCTGGGGAGAGGCAGGCGGCCGAGCCCGCGCAGATCCTCGCGAAAGGACAACTGCGCGACGGCCTTGCCAGGAGGACCAGAGCTCCCTGAACGCTGCCGCTGCAAACACTGCCTTGAGAAGAGGAGAGCGCGGGGCTGTATTTTCGCCGCCTCTGTAATCACTGCATACACGAAAACTAGCTTCTGTGGGTGGGGCGGGGGGCGATGGTTGAGATTTTACGAATCACCTAAACCGCCCCCAGGGCCGAGGCGCCGCTGCTCGCATCATGGTCCTCCTGCCGGGCGCCGGGCTCCCCTGCCGGAGAGGGCCCGCGGACGCGCGGAGAATATCCTGGAGCCATCTAGTCTTGCCTCCGAGGCGGGGTGGGCTTATTTGTGCGGAGTAGAAACGGATCCCTTAATGGGGTGAGATTTTTTCCTCGGTACATTGTTCCCATTTCCGCAGTTTCACTTGGCCTCGGTTTTCTTCCAGCGTAATCACCAAATGAAATTAGCTGGAGAGCGTTTGATGGCGCAGAATCGCGGTCTGAAGATGTTTACGCTGTGCGCCGGACGCGTTTGATGGTGTTCTCTTCAGCACAATTAATTTTGCAAAGTTCAGAAATGTGCCAAATAGAGCCCCTGGCACGCAGTCAGGACTCTGCAGACACACCTTGAGTAGGAAACCGGCTTGTTTGTTTCATCTGTTATTTATGTGATGCACCAGCACCAAGGCCAACGTCTTTTTAAAGACCTTTGGATACAATTCCAAAGCAATTTGTAAATTGACAAAATGAAGCTCGTTTTCTAAAATAACTGTTCCCTGTTGATTACGTAATTAAATGGGCAACAAAACACCTGAAAGTACATTTATTGAAAAGTAGACTTCCAAAACAAAAATATGTATTTCACAGCTAGAAATGGTGGCTACTAGTGTCCTAAAGGCCAGCTGCATTCATGTACGTATTTTGAACCCTAAAACTAAACGCTTCCTGTTATCCCTAAGACCTTGTTTGGTTAACATTTTTCTGTTACACGTACTTGAAACCAACCCCATTTAAGATGTTTACCCTTATTCTTGAGTCCTTGATGGTTTGGGAAATTTATCATCTTTCGTATTGCACAATGCTGTCACTGTCTTTTCCATTAGGCACAGTGCCTAAGATCTACAATATTTTTAGAGCCCCACAAAAAAATATTTTAATTTCTTTTCAAATCAGAAGGAAAAATATTTAGGTGTAAGAATTTTAATATATATAAATATATTTGTTTTTGTACTAATACAATCTTAAAATGTAATTTTTATTTTTTTAATGGAGTAAAGGGCTCAATGAAGGCAAAAAGTCCTCAGACCCAAGAAAAACACGATGTGGCCTTGTTGCCTGGGGTTGAAAAATCCCTTTCCATGAGAAGAATTTATTTTTAAGCATGTTATATAAAATGCTCATTTCTGTGGCCTTGCTAATAATAGATAGATGGAGATTTGGAGTTGTAATAGTGGCTAGCATCCACTTGATACACATCATGTGTCTATTACCTCTTTTAATTCTTACAGCACACCTGTGAAATAGGTACTTCTCACACTTAGGGGGTGATGCAAGTTTTGTGGGGCCTGCCGTTTATGCAACTTGGGTGATCCTCTTAAAGAAAAGGCAAAGACTGTATATTAGTCCATTCTCACACTGCTATAAAGAACTGCCCAAAACTGGGTAATTAATAAAGGAGAGAGGTTTAATGATTCACAGTTCCACATGGCTGGGGTGACCTTAGGAAACTTACAATCATGGTGGAAGGAGAAACAAGTACCTTCTTCACAAGGAGGCAGGAAAGAGAAGTGTGAGCAAAGGAGGAACTTGCCACACACTTACTGTCAGATCTCATGAGAATTCACTATCACGAGAACAACATGGGGAAACTGTCCCCATACTCCAGTCACTTTTCTCCCTGACACGTGGGGATTACAATTCAAGATGAGGTTTGGATAGGGACACAACGCCTGACCATATCACACAGCATGTCAGGCAGCCCCAGCACCACCCAATAGAAGGGAAAATGACAGAGGGGAAGTCCAAGTGGAAACAGACCTCAGTTTCAGCTAATTGTGACTACAATATATTACTTTTGCAAATTGTACGAAAACACATGACCAGGTGAATGTATTGCCAAGCCTCCTGCCAAGGCCTGGGATGGAGGCCTAGAGAAATGCCGGAAAGCTTATGCTGTGTGAGCGTCACAGAAGACCGCCTTCTATGTATACACATTTTACAGGTAAAACATTTAGGCATTTGTCACAGCTTCTAAGGAACACCACATTCCTTATACCATACTGAGGTATAATTTGAAGAGCTGTGGTATAAGCATTGTTTCATGAGAAAAAACAGAGTTTACATTTCTGTAACAAATCAAGAGTTTTAAAAGCATGTTAGCAATATTTGACCAGACTATAACCCAGCGTGGGGCACCTGACTGCTGTCTGTGCTGTCAAGAATAAATTTTTCTTATCTATTGTATAAAAATATGAATTAATCCATATGGACTCTTGAAGGAATTTCAGTTCAATTTCAAGTCTCATGGATTGACACTGTTTTTACTTACTTTGTCATAGACCAGTCTATGTTGTAAATACTAATTTATATAATTACATTTTGCAATTTCATGAAGTGTTAAGAATATGTTTTGTTTGATGCTTATACTGCATAATACAAAGAGCCTCATCTCCATAAATGTTTGTTGAATAAATAAAATAATGAAATAGAGTAAGTCACAAAATTAGAAGTGTAGGTTTTGTCACAGGCTAAAATTGAATGGGACTGAAGTAGCAAAATGTTGAGCTTGTAAGTACTTCCTTAATAAGCAGAACTAACTTCTTAGTTAATTATTTTGTGCTAAAAATTTGTGATCTTCTTCCCAGCTACTGGCTCTTCTTTTTGTTTTTGTTTTGATAATTTCTTTGCTTTTTTTTAAATGCTATTGCATTTGAAATGTGTCTGTGTATGATAATGTTTAAATGAAACAAAAATCATAATCACACCTCTAATGAAAGTTCTGGAAATGAAAGGCTTTGTTTTCTGAAAGGATCAATTACTCACAAAAGCAGCAACCTTGAGTTGATGGGTTTTTGTTATTAAATTACCTACATCTTGAACCTTAAACAGGCTTCCCTTTATGTGTGATCTAATATATATAGTGTTTATCAGTCAGCAGGACAAGATATGGCTGTGTTCCTGGAATAAAGTTTTGGAAGCAAAAAAAAAAAAAAAATCTACAAATTAAGCATAGTGTATTAACCAGTGAATAACTGAAATGAGTGAAACTATTTTTTGTTTTAAGCCTGACTGATAAATGTAGACTTAAATTGGTTTATCTTAGAGCACAGAGTTGGGCAAGATTCAAAACTTTAATTATATCTTTGTAACATGAAGCCATATGAGAGTAATGAGCTAATTTTCTCTAGATTTTATGTTCTTTACCCAAAGTGGTTTGGAATGCTATCTGAGAGATGTGAAAAATGTGACAAAGATCATGAAAAATAGTATCTGCTCAAAATTTTGTTTAGAATATTTTCTTTTAGATACAATGATTTCGGAGTGCTATGTCAAGTAATTTGATAAATTATATCTCTAGCTTGGCCCCAACAGGATTGCATTTTGCCTTTTGTTTATTTATACTGTGCCTTCTTCCAAAAGAGACTTAAGGTGGTTTATTTACAATGAAAGACAAATATTAAAAAAAAAAAAAAAAAAGAAAGGAAAGTTGAAATTCTGGCTGAGGCAAACAATAGTATTTGAGCATAAAACTTAACTCAAGCATCCTCATAGCAGTAAAATAGGGGAAGTGAAGGTTTGCATAGCTCTCATTGTCAAGTGGAGGGAGTCCCACAGTTTCAGCAGGAGAAAGTCTTTCCTGATTTAGTCTCTGGGAGGAATTTGTCTCAAGGATACTTATATGAGCGATAGTCACATATCTAAGTTAAGAGGGACGATGCACAACAACAATTTTGGCTATCTTTTGGTGGCAGACAGAGCTAATTTTTTTTTTCTGGTAATTAACTTTAAAATTGCTATTGTTCAAAGTAAGTAGTGAGACTCCTACAGCAGTTTTGTTTTTCCTAGCCTTTGAAGTCAAGCCAATGATGTAATATTAAATCTTGGTTTTCCCAGTTTCCTTCTCTATAAAAAGGGACTATTAAAAGTATCTACACACTTTCTGCTGTATGAAATTTACTGTAGTTTTCCTCAGCCAGGGTTTATATATCTATTTTTTCCTTCCCTCTGAGGAGCTGTCTTATTGAAGACAACCTCAGATCTCTTTTGGAAGGATACATGCACATGTGCCTGACACAGAGTAAGCAATAAATATTTGCTGTGAATGTTAACATTATTATGATTTCTACTACCACTCCCAAATCTATCAAAGCAAATACAGGAGCCTACTTTACGAGTAGGAGTGATGGTGAGACAGTTCTAGCCTCCAATTGTCCGTACAGAGCAAAGCTTAGAGAATTATGAGGAGTCAATTGGTATCACTCAGATACCCGTAAAGCAGTCATTTTCCCTTTGGTTCCATTGTATTGTTTACCATCACTTCCCTTTCTCTATGACTTCACTTCATTGTTTAATTTGAAGAACATGAAGTAAGAACACTTTCCCACAACACGCTAACATTTGCTTAACTCCCTGGGTCTTGGAGACTTCTTTTACTCTTGGGAGACTAAATGGCAAAGGTGTTAAAGCCAACTCCCTAAGCCAAAAGCCTAGTGTTGGGGATGGTGGGAGTACTGCAAATGTGAAGAGAGCCAGGGACAGGAGGGCGGGACACGAGCCCTAGCAAACCTTCTCTTTCCAGAGTGGTTAACCCTGCCCATCCCCTCTGCTCTGTTCCTCTCCATAGGGTTGGTCCCAATGAACTTTTGTCTGATTGGAATCTTCGTTTCACATTCTTGTTCTTCCTCCCCCTCAGGAATCTTCCTGTTTCTCTTCTTGCCTCTCCTATCTTTTCTTTTCTGCCTCTGTCTTCACCTATAACTCACTTCTTAACCCATGGGCCTCCATCCCTTTACCTCTTTCCTCCTCTGTTGACTTCCAGAGCACTCTCCTCTGTTCCTGCTTCTCTTCTTTCACCTTATTCTTTATCTGTTGTCCCAAGTCATTTAGGGGCAGAGCAAAACATTTAAATTGTTGCTACCTTCTTTCTTATAGCTCATCATACATTTAGAATGCTGGGCTAATATTCTCAGTTAAGCTAATGGATCCCACAAAAGAGCAATTAACTCCCTTCTGAGTGGTGATATTAAGCCTATTATTGAATGTATTCCTGTGGCTACTGCACTCAGTGCGTTGCCAGAGGCATCTTGTGCAGATGGAGAAAGAAGCCAGAAGATTAAGGGATTGCACTGAGGTCCAGCTAGGGGTAGTGGAGTGGTTCAAAATGGAATCAGAATTCCTTAAATCCTCGAATATATATTTCTAAATAATGTACTTAATCCACAGCCTTCAATATTATTGTACAAAACCAAAAAATCTAAAACTACAGGGGTGAGTTTTTCTTGCCAGTTTCTGACTGTGAAGAATTTTCAATGGTTGCACGTTTGCCAACAGGCATAATTCAAGGTCTCTGAAACACTGGGTAGCTGAAAAATAACTAGTCAGTTAAATAATTAAATAACAGTAATGTCTCCAGTGTTTCCTTATGGTACCTAATCTGGAACACTGCCATCACTATGGCAGCTCTGGTGAATAGGAACATTTCTGTGGATGGCATTCCTACTGGAATATAAGGTAACTGAGAGTGCCACTCTCAAAGGGAAAGTCTGCAGCTTGGAATTTCTTTTCTGTGACATGCCCAAGAAATCTTGTGTTTCTGACTATTTTGTTTAATCCCAAGATCGTAGACTTAAGGGGCTGACAGAAATTTTGCCGCTGCCTTAAGCAATGAACTATCTCTCTCAAATGTGAGCTCACATAGAATTCCATTCTATCCACCCAAGTGGTCTTGTCCTGGACTAC